GTCCAACCCACTTTGCAGAGGGGGAAGCTGAGACCCCCCTCGGCACCGAGAGCCCAGCCAGGGAGGGGGCGGCTGGGAGCCCGGGGCCACACGGGCCTGGGTTCAAATGTGCCTACGCTTACATCCAGGTGCTTACACCCACGCTGTGCCTCAGTTCCCCCATCTGTGCGGGTGGGGGCCTGCCTTCAGCTCTGCTGCTGACTGGCTATCTGCTGCCCCACTCTGGTCTCAACAAGAGCTTGGTAACAGGACTCTTGCCCCTGGCTGGGAAGAATCCCGTGGTGTGAGCCTGGCGAGTGTGCGTTTCAGACTGTGGGAACACAGGCTCAGGGGAGCGGTCAGCGAACAGGCCCAAAGAGGAGAGGGAGAGCCCCATGGTGGGGGGGGGCTGTACCTGATGCTTTGAAGGCTGTCAGCTCCACGGCCTGAGGACAGAGGGGCCATCAGGGGACGAGCCCCCACTCCTACTACCCCTGGGGCCCTTGGATACCATGGTGAAGACTCCATCCGCCCCCCAAGTGGCCTTGGCATTCAGGCTCTGCCCGCATGCCGCCAGCAGCTCCTGGCTGCTCCCAGGGCCCTTGAGCCTAGGAACAGAGCAGACGCCAGGGGAAGCCCCTACCCCCTCCCTACCCTAGGCCCTGTGGCTTCCCTGGCCACTGGCCACACTTGCTAGCCCCTGGCAGAGCCCTGTGGGGCCCACGGTGTCCCAGCCTCACCGGTCTCTCGAGTTCTGCAATGGAGGAGAAGACCGTGGGAATGCTGGGGCCATGGGTCCCTAGTGCGGGGTGGGAACTTGAGTCAGCAAACTTGGAAGACTGAGGCAGGAAGCCCTTCCCCCCATGAGTGGGACTCTCGTGATCATATTTGAACCCTAAGGGGCCACTCAAAGGTTTACCCCACAAATGAGGAGGAAACTAAGGCTCAGAGGGGGGAGGTAAGCTGCTCTAGGATTAGAACCCCTGGCATGGCCTTGTCATTCAACCCATGCCCCGCCTCAGGGCTCCAAACCCCACCCACTCACCTGTCTCAGGGAGTTTGCTAATGCCCTCTGCATGGAGACCCAGGGAAGGTCACCGTTTCCTGGTAGTGGGGGGTGACAGCCATTTCTAAGCCATTCCCCAAGCCCCAAGATTACAGAATTTCCTGGGTCTCGGTTTCCTTATCTCTCAGGTGGGCTGACAGGACCTGCAGTTGTCCTCCCAGCTCTGCCTGAGCGTGGAAACGGGGGCACTAGGCAGCATCAACTCTGGAGGGTGGTGAGGCTCTACCTCTGGGATCCCGGTGTCTTCGGGGTGGAGTTAAGGCTACGGAGCCGGCCTTGGCCGTCTCCCAGGGACCTGGGAGCACCGGCCTGGGTCTCCAGCAGGCCCGGCCGGAGCGAGTCTGAAATCGGAGAGCGTCGCAGGCACTCGGACCAGCCGTGGGGTCCCGCCACGCCTGCTGCGCGTCTGCTGACCCATGAGCACCTCGGCTGCCTCCTCAGTCATCCTTTGCAGGGCGCTGCGCACCTGGGGGACAGCTGGAGGTTGGGCCTGGGACCCTCTCGGTCCCCACGGCCTGGGGGGGCGGTGCTGAAGAGACCCCCGCCCCGCCCTTCCCACCCATTCTGGCATTCACTGGCATTCACAGACTCACCCCCCCACTGGAGGCTGCGTAGACCAGGAAGATGGAAGGCCCCTGGGGACAGACAGTGGGTGGGCAGGCGCCACATCCTGGGTGCCCCCAACCCACCCCCTCTGGCCTGGCCCCCGGCCTGGCCTGAGGTCACGGTGCCCTCCCCTGGTTTCCAGCCACAGCAGAGACACTCGCAGAGACACCCAGAGACATTCAGAGACAGGCTGGAGAACACAAAGCCGGGCCTGCCCTCCTGCCCTGCATGGGGAGGGGCAGCTGTGGCACTGGGGAGAGGGGACAGGAGGAGCCTTGCTCCACCCAGCCCCACGCCTTCAGCCCCTGGCCACCAGGCAGCTTCTGATTCCAGTCCTCGGTGCTCCACCCCAGACTCACAGCCTCCCCACCCTGTGGGGGAGTAGAGAGACACCTTCCTGAAGCTCCAAGGCCCAGTCAGGTCCTGAGACAGCAACCCTGTGAGTGCACTCTGACTGCCTCTAGCAGGTGGCTTTAACTCCCTGAACCTCTGTCTCTTCATCTGGAAGGGGGATGAGCCAGCACTTGCCTCCCAGTGAGGGAGAGGTGTGTGAAGGACTTAGCACGGTGACTGGGGCAGAACTGGCTCCCTAACCTGTCCCCACACGTGTGGGACCAGAGGGCCTCGCCTCCCTAAGCACCATCAGGTTTGGGGTCTCACTTGACCCTCACAGCAGCTCTGTGGCAGGGGCGAGAGTGGATTCATTCTCTCCATCTGACGAGAGGGACCCAGCAGCCAGGGGCAGGGGGCTGAGGAATGAGTCCCAAGAGCCCATGCGGCCAGCAGGTGGCTCAACAGCCTAGGACTTCCTCCTGGGCTGCATAAAAGGAGCTCTGGCCCGTAGGTGCAGACTGGAGGACAGCGTCCCAGGGCCGAAAGGTGGAGCCCAAGAGCCGGGCTGTTCCCCAGTTCTTGGGTAGCAACTCAGCTGACACCACCACCACAGCCCCCGAGACAGACCCTGATGCCCCCACATCCAGCCTGACCCCTCTGCAGCATCAGCTCCGCCTTCCCCATCCCACTTGCTTTAACCCGTTCCTCACCACCCAAAGACATCTCTCCAAACTTCCACTCCACTCCATCAGCACCTGCATGACACCCTCCATGGTTCCCAAGTATCCCCAGGGAAAAAAAGGGTCCCTCGGTCTCTCAGCCTCAATCCTACTACCCTGTAGTTGTGTTTTTCGTTGTTGTTTGTTTGTTTTTTCAGTTGGAGTCTCAGTCTGTGGCCCAGGCTGGAGTGCAGTGACATACTCACGGCCACCGCAGCCTTGACCTGCTGGGCTCAGGCAATCCTTCTGCTTCAGCCTTCCAAGTAGCTGGAACTGCAGCGAGTGCCACCACACCCAGCTATGTGTGGGGTTTTTGTTAGTTTTGTTTGCTTGTTTTGAGACAGGGTCTCATTCTGTTGCCCAGTCAGGAGTGCAGTGGCATGATCATGGCACACTCCAGCCTCAAACACCTGGACCCAAGGGATCCTCCCACCTCAGCCTCTCAGGTAGCTGGGACTACAGGCACACATCACCTCACCTGGCTAATTTTTAATTTTTTTTAGAGACAGGTCTGGTCTATGTTGCCCAGGCTGGTCTCAAACTCCTGGCCTCAAGTGATACTCTTGCCTCAGCCTCCCAAAGTGCTGGGACTACAGGCATGAGCCACTGCACCTGGCCAGTTGTGTGTTTTTTGATGTGTGTCTTTCGGGCTGAGAACGCCACAGGTACACACTTCGATTCTGTGTCCCACCATGTCCTCCAGTGGGTAGGCCAGCCTCAGCATGGGGAAGTGGGAAAGTATGTGCTGAATGACTGAATGACACAAATGTGCTCACACTCTTGGGCTCCTAGCGTGTGCCAGATATTGTGTTTATGCAGTGTCATCTCCATCGAATCCCACAATGATCCCATGAGGTGGGTGGGAATCTGATTCCTTTACACAGATGTAGACACTGAGGCCTGGTTCAACTTCTCCAGGCCTTCAACAAGACTCTCTCCACTGGGGTAAGTGTGAGCAACAGCTGGTTATAGAAGCGAGGCTTTGCTCTCCCTCCACAAAACCAGGCACAGGGGCCAGAAGGAAACAAATCGCCCCTGAAGGGTGAATGAGGCTGGGCTGATCCTAGCCCTTCTAACCCATGCCTGCTCCCTGGTCACCGTCCTAAGAGCAGGTCCTGCCCAGCTGATGCCCAAGACAGGCAGAGGGTGGGAGAGGGACAGGGCTGGAGGGGGCGGCTGGTGTGACTGAAATGAGAGGTGAGGGGAAGGCCAGGCCTGGGGAGAGGAACCCAGAGAACACAGCCCTGAGCCCCAGGGGGTCACACAAACATGTGAGATGGCAGGTCTTTGGAGCCACCGCCCTACAGCCTCTCTCCTGCTGTCACCAGAAGGTCTGCTGTGCAAGAGAGGCACAACAGAGGCAGAAGGGTGCCAGAGAGATGAGGGGAGGATGGAGAGACATCCAAGAGAGGTCCAGGAAGAGCCAGGTAGGATCAATGCCAGGAAAAACTTACCCAGCTGGAGGGGGAGAAGGGGACAGGGAGGAGGCAGTGACAGAGAGAGAACCTGAGAGACAGAGAAAGAATCTTTCAGAGAAAATTCAGAGACAGAACAAGACACGGAGAGAGGAAAGCATGGGAAGGGAAGGGAGGAAGGCAGAGATGGCGTGACGGTGGCATGGTCCCCTGGCTGCATCCCTGCCTATCAGAGGGGCACAGGTGGGGAAGGAGAACATCAGGGGCACGCCCTACATTGTGGGGGGATACCCAGTAAAGAGCTGGAATCGTTGCTGTGGCAACAAGAGGCTGCCGCCCTCCCCACCATGTTATCGGGTCCTGTGCCTAAGAGGTGCCCATCTGGAATGGGAAGCCATGAAGCTCTAGGGGCAGGGCTTGGAAGAGGGGATCTGTGTCAGAGAGGGGGCGCAGCACCCTCCATCCTCCCCCACTCAGGCCCAGGCAGGTCCCTGTCATCATGCTTCCCTGAGAATAGCGCTGAGATCCCAGTCTGCATCTGAAGGGCCCCTCTCTGGCTGGGCAGCCACCTTCTCCTGGCAGGCCCCCTTGTTTTCCCCTCTCCTTTTTCACGCCGGCCTGGCAGAAAGTGGCTGAGTCCCCAAGGCAGAGGGAGAAGACCACATAGCTAGGACCCCAGCGACCCACTCCCTGATCACCCCTCCCCTCCTTGCCTCATCCCCTCCCATCACACTTCATTTCTTCCTGTTGGCCATGGTCTGGCACCCCCCACTCAAAGAAGAGACCAGGCCTTTGTGGCTGCCTCATTTGCTGCTGTGTCCCGGCACCCTGAACAGTGCCTGGCACTCGGTGGGCGATCAGTAAGTAGCAAATGGATGGATGCATAACTGGGCCAGGGTGCCCCTCCCTGGCACAGGCTGGGACCTGTCCACAGTCAGGCTGGACATCCCAGTGGCTGAGCACATAGGTTCTGGAGCTGGGCCCAGTGCTACTCCTTCCTCCTCGGAGGCCTTGGACAGGTGACTCCGGGAGTCTCAGTCTTCCCAGACAAGAGGCTTGGAGGGAGACAGAAACAGGCAGCCAGTTCGGGGCTCAGGGAGAGGCATCGTGGGAGGCAGCCAGCATTGTGATCGCCTGCCATGCCTCAGCCCCCTTCTCTGAGGAGAAGATGGAGGGTCCCCAGGGGCCCAGCTCTGAGGACACAGGGACCCTGGTCGAGTTTGCACCTCTGAGCCTGCCTTGGTCCAGCGTCACCCACTTTTTGGCTTGAGAGGGACCTGGGCCAGGGAGAGCTGGGAGCAGTGGGGAGTGGGTGATAGGGAGAGAGCTAGGGGAGCAGGGAGACGGAGGGAAGGGCGGGGTATCACTGTGACTGGTCTGGATCCCTCACAGGTCTGTGAGTCCCTTGAGGATAGGGACCCAGTCAGCCTCATCTGTAGTTCCAGGACACAGGACCCAAGATATACAGGGTGCCCGGGCACAGGCCTGCAGCCCCCCATGACTGCCCTTATGTGGGTTCATCATCGGTCCCCTGACCAAACCCTTTTTTAAATTTCAGTCCTCACCAACAGAGTAGCTCCTGCTGACCCCACAGTAGGCCACAGGCCCCAAGGGGAGAGGTGGCTGATGCCCAACACCTCCTCCCCCCTGCCTCCCTGTGAGAACTGAGTAAATCTCTGGCACCAGCCTTGGGCTGGAATTTCTGCTGTACTGAGTGTCATGGCGCGATCAGCCTTAACAACCCCTTAACAGCTCCCTGTCTGGGCCTCAGCTTCCTCATCTGTCAAGTGGGTCACACAGTCCTCCCTCATGAACTGCTGGTTGACTTGAGGTTGCCTGTCCTCCCACTCCCTCCCTTTTGATATGATGTCCCCAGTCACTGCTGCGTCTCTCCCATGATGGAGAGCTCACCCTTCCCTAGTCCCCGACAAGCCAGTCATCCCTCTGAGTTCCAGGGTGTGTCTGAGCCCTAGCCCCAGATGCTCCAGGCCTGGAGGTACCTGGAGGGAATTGAGGCCCACTGCGGCGTAGGCCCAGGCCGGGCTAAGGTGCACCAGGACGCTGACTAGCCAGGTCAGGCCCAGGACAGGCAGCAGGACCAGCACCGGCTTCACTGTGGCCCTGTGGGAGGGTGAGCAGGGCTGAGGGGGCCTGGGTGGCCTGGGGAGCTCCCCACAGGACTCCAGGGAACGGGCACCTGGGAAATGTCTGGAGGGGTGGGAGCTGCCAGACTCCGGAGTAGCCAGAACCCTCGGCTGGACCGTGCTGCCTCCTTCTCAAAGGCCCAGAGGTGGCACGCAGTAGGAGGAGTGGCACTGGGGATACGGGGTCCCAGCCCCAAACTGGCTGTAAGGAATGGGTTGGCAGCTGTCCAGAAGGAGGGCTGAGGCCTGGGCAACCATGGGTCAGAAGGGTCTCCCCTCTCCCCCCCCCCAAGAACCCCTGGGGCTCTGTGGCTTTTCAGGGACCCACTGACTTGGGCTGCTCCACCCTTGGTGGAGGATGGGTGGGGAAGAGGAAGGCCAGAGAGGAGGCAGGGCTGGGGGACGAAGGCCAGCAGTCCCCCTCTCCAGCAGGGTGTAGCCCTGAAGAGCGATGGGGTCCTTGTCAGGGGTGGGGACCCAGATCCTAACCCTGGACCTGAACTCCTAGGGAAGACCTGATTTGGAGTCTCTCCTCCTTTGCCCCAGCTGGCTATCAGTGTCTTCTGCAGGCAGTGCATCCCAGGACAGGGGCTGGTGTCCACACTCGCCTCACAGAGGATCAGTGACGATCCCCACACACATGCATGGGCACGTTTACACATGCTGACACGCATGAGCATGTGTGACACAAGCAGGGACACATGGGTGTGCTTGATACAGCCTCGGGCATGGCCACATGCCACACCCCCAACACAGACTCATAGGTGCTCTCGCCCAAGGAGCTTCATACTTGGTGCTAGCTGGCCTTGCCCCCTGCATCCTCCTGGCCTCCTCAGCCTAGGGCCTCACCACATCTGGATCCTGATCTGCTGCTGCAGGCAGGGCTGCAGGCTCAGCACGCGGGCACGGTGCCGGGAACTGGACACAGTGACCATCACCACGCGGACCAGGATGCAGGTGTTGGCCTGGAGACCCGGTGTCAGTGGGCGAGAGGAATCCCCATCCCCGACAACCCCCTCTCCGGCCCCGCTCACAGTCAGCACGAAGAGCACAGGCCCCACAAAGGCCCAGATGGTATCTGTGTGCACGTTGAGCCAGCAGTGTCCAGTGGCCACATAGTCGCGGGGGGATGTGGCTAGGGTGATGGCCACGATAACCATGGGCACACCTAGGGAGGGGAGAAGGGGCCTCAGGGCTGGCCACCTGCTCCTTTCTCTCCAGGCCCCAGCCCTGCCCCCAAGCTGCAGCTGTCCACTGGGTGGTCCGGAGAGCAGGGCTGATACTGTGGTGCATTGGAGCCATGAATAGCTTGGGAATGGGGAGAGTTGAGGTTGGACTGAAGGCTGGGCCGGGCGTCTACAGAGATGGAGCCTGGGCAACTGGCAGGGCGGGGGCCAGTGCTAGAGGTGGGGTGAGGCTGTTGGAACAGAGGAGGATTGTGAGGAACCGGGGTGGGTGTGGTTGGAGGTCGACAGAACTGAGAACAGTGAGCTGGGGGTGCTGGGTGCTGGGCAGTGGTGGGTACCAGGGGGAGCTGCGCCAGGGGTATGAGCACCAGTGTGATGGGCACTGGAGGGATGAGAGCTAGGAGGATGGGCACCAGGGGGAGGGCATCGGGGGGATGGGCAATGGGGGATATGGGCATCAGGGGAAATGGGAATGAGGGGATTGTCATCGGGGAGATGGGCACTGGGGGATGGGTAGTGGGGGTGGGATAGGCACTGGGGGGATGGGCACCAGGGGGAACGGGCATGGGGGTAATGGGCACCAGGGAATGGGTACCCGGAGGGAGGGGCACCAGGCAGTGCTGGGCACAGCAGTGCTGGGGGCAATGGCAGCCGAGCACAGCAAGCTGAGGAGAACAGAGCAAAGGCAGGGGTGGGGCCTCACCCCAGCCTGCGGCATAGTAGAGCCTCATGCGCGGGCCCGGGCGCATGTCCACGGCCACCACCTTATTCCACAGCAGCAGTCCCTCCACCAGCATCCAGGAGAAGGCAACCAAAAAGAGGAAGTGCATTGCGGCTGTGGCAGCCACACAGGCCACCTGCAGGAGGGGGGGGATCCCCAGCGATGCTAGCCATGGTACAGCCCCCTGGGGCTCCACACTCATGCCTGGCACTACCAGCCCAAAGAGGTGGCATCAGATGAGGCCTCTGGGCAATGCCCTGGGCCAGCTCTGCCATTCAGGGCCTTTCCTCTCCAGGCTTTGCTCCTTCCCGGGGAAATGGAGCCAGAAACATCCGTGAGCATTTCCCCAGGTTCCCTCAAGAAGCTCGCAGCCCACCCGCCACTGGCTGCCCACCTTGTTGGTCTTGGCCCACTCGCTGGCCATGAGGAGGCCCTCGGCACAGGCCAGGGAGAAGGTGAGGTTCTTGTGGACTGTGATTCGCTCTGATTTAGGGACCCTGGGCAAGCAGAGGAGTTGGTTAACAAAGATACTGCCACTAGCCCCCACACCTGGCTTGCCCCACCTGGATCCCCTGAGCATGGGCAAATAGGTAGAGAGGGCAGTTCCACAGGGGCCCCACACGCCCTAGGGAGAGCCTCAGATCAAGGGTCTGCTGGGATCAAGGATGGACACCTGCCCCGAGGGGTTTGTGAGGTCCTTAAGGGGCAGGCAGGCCCAGGCTGCCAAGCCACCAGGCCACCAGGCCACTGTGGTGCTCGCTCCTTACCCAGCTGCCAGGAAGAGCAAGAAGGTGGTGGCAAGGGCGCAGAAGGACACACCACAGCCCACGAATGACAGAGTCTTCAGCAGCGACTCTTCCTCAGGGTCTCTCTGTGGGGAGGAACAGAGAGTAAACCCCTGGTACCACTCCAATCTGACCCTGGCCAGATGTTGCCCTGCCTGACTTTGCCCTGCAATAAAGCAGGATGGTAAAAGCATTGGCGGCAGGGCCCAGGTCTGCACACAGTAGGCACTTAATAAGTGGGCATTTGCTTGTCTTTCTCTCCTGCTGGCTCTCCCTTACATGGCCTCAATCAGCGCAGCTCTCGCCGACTCAATAGCTACTAAGAGCACTAAATTGGAAGTGATCCATATGTCTGTGGGGAGGGGATCTCATGTGACACACATCCACGCATGGCGGGGGGATCACGGAACTGTCCTTAGAAGCATGGCTGCAGGCTGGGCTCAGTGGCTCAGCCTGTAATCCCAGCACTTTGAGAGGTCAAGGCGAGTGGATTGCCTGAGCCTGCGGGTTCAAGACCAGTCTGGGCAACTTGGTGAGACCTCATCTCTACAATAAATAAATAAAAAATTAGCCGGGTTCGGTGGCTCAGTCTGTAATCCCGTGCCTTTGGGAGGCTGAGGTGAGTGGATTGTCTGAGCCCGCGGGTCCGAGACTCACCTGGGCAGGCGAGACCTCATCTCTACAATAAATCAAAAAATTAGCCGGGCATGGTAGCGTGCGCCTGTAGTTCCGGCTACTTGGAAGGCTGAGGCAGGATTGCCAGAGCCCAGCAGGTTGAGGCTGCAGTGGCTGAGAGGTGTACCACTGCTCTCCAGCCTGGGTGACAGAGTGAGACTCCAACTCAAAAAAAAAAAAGAAAAATAAAAAGAAACGTGGCTGCGGATGGACTGTTTATAACACGGAGAAATGTCCATGCTCTGATTTTACAGGCAAAGGGCATCTGTGAACACATTTCTCTAGCAGGTTCCTCAGCACACTGAGGGAGCCCAGCATGCCTGAGGCTAAGGCATGCTGACCTCTCAGCAAATGACCCTTTCCGGCTCCATGGAGCCCACCCTCTTCTGGTCTCCTCCTAGAATCAGTCCCCCCCCAGACTGTCAATGCTGGTGCCCCTCGGGGCCTCTCTTGGCTGGGTCTCCTTTTACTTCCAGTCTCATCTCAGCCGTGGCTTTAACTATTGGCTTTTCCTTCACCTGTAGCTGAGAACCTCCCACCTGGACATCAGCCCTCCCTCTGCCCATGCACTCACGTGGATGTCATACACCTGGAGCAGGATGGCAAAGTTGGTGCTGTGGTTGCAGAAACAGACGGCAGAGTCCTGGTGTAGGGTGGCCACAGGGCAGCCAGTGGTAGCCCAGGATCCCCCCGTGTCTGGGCTTGGGGGGTGGGGAGGGAACAGAGGGCTCTTGAGATGGGGGTGAGTGGCCAGTGGCAGGCAGGGGAAAGCCTGTACCCGGAGCCTGGGGGCCGTGTGGCTGCCCTGCTTCTAACTAGCTAACATGACAAGTCACTGTCCCTCTCTGGGCCTCATTTTCCCAGACTGTAAAATCTGCTTAACATGCCTTGGATGGTTGGAGGCCAGGGTTGATACCGGTGATGGCTATTTACTAACATCATGGATAACTCCACAGTTATGACTAATGTTCATTGCCTCAACTCAAGATCCAGGGCAGAGTGCTGGGCTACTCCCTGGACCTCCACTGCCCCCTCCAAATGCTCAGGACCCCCACCTCAGAGGCGATCAAGTTTAAGACCCAACTGATGGATGAGTTTCTTCCTAGGCACCTCACAGAGTGCCTTCTCTTCACACACTTTCTACGACAGGGAGCTCACTACTCCCTGGGTAACACATTCTCCTGTCCCAGCTTGCCCTGGAGCTGGACAGGGCCTGGAGTCACCTCTGCAAGGCAGATGGCAAACGGAGGCCAAATCACACCCGTTCCGCTTCATTCCCAGGTGGAGACATCTTTTTAAAAATTGCCTTAATCCAGCCTGGGCAACAGAGTGAGATTCCAACTCAAAAAAAAAAAAAGAAAAGAAAAACGAAATCGCCTTAAAGTACCTGGAAATGGCCTGGGCTTGGTGGCTCAGCCTGTAATCCCAGCACTTTGGGAGGCCGAGGCAAGTGGATGGCCTGAGCCCGTGGGTACAAGACCAGCCCGGACAACTTGACGAGACTCTGTCTCCACAATAAATAAAAAATTAGCTGGGGATGGTAGCATGTGCCTATAGTTCTGACTACTTGGATCACTGTAGCCCAGCAGGTCGACGCTGGGGTGACCGTGAGCATGCCACTGCATTCCAGCCTGGGCAACAGAGTGAGACTTCAACTCAAAAACAAACAAACAAACAAACAGAATCTGGAAAAGGAAACTCACCTGATGCTGAAGTTCCAGAAGGCACAGACAGGCTCCACCAGCTTCTGAGGGAAGGCCTAGGGGCAGGAAACAGGGATGGGATGTGTGTGAGCATGCCTGGGGACATGGGGCAGGTGTGAGTGTGTATGGGGGAGCGAGGTGGGTGTGAGCAGGTATGGGGGTGTGGGGTGGGTATGAGTGTGTGGGATGCGGGGCGGGTGTGAGTGGGTATATGAAAGGAGAAAGACCAGAAGGATGCAGGGGACTCTGAGGACTTTGTCTGAGGGACAGGGGTTGCTCATCATGTGTCATGGGTGAAGGGACAGAAGGAAAGGGAGGTGCGTAGACTTCTAACATGATGTGTAAGATCAGAAAGCTGGGAAGAAGCTAACTAAATGGCCACCTGTCAGAGAGTGGTCACATAGCTGTGACTCGTCCCTCTCAAAGCTCTGCACCTGGAAAGGTGAATGAACAGGTCTCGTCTACTGATGTGGAAGGATCTCCCAACATGCTGTTTGTAAAGAGGAAGTTCATGACATGATGCGTGATGCACACTCATTTATGTGGAAGGCTCGGTTCTGTGTGCTTGTGACACACACACGCACACAGTGTCGGGGAGCAAACATGCCGCTAGCCCAGCAAGGGTCAGGTCTGGGTTGAACATGCTATGATGACCATGTTAGTTTTTTTATAACTAAACAACGACAACAATCTAGACTTTATGTCACTAAGCAGAGAGGAAGCAGGCAGCCAGTGGTACCAGCCCCAGTCCAGGCAGGGAAGGCAGCCTGAGCTTGGACCTCGTCGTTTGTCCCGACTGGAGAGGGTAGCGACAATGACACCTCACTTGTGTCTTGCCAAGCATATTCATGTCCTTTATTGTGGCTGATGTTCATAGTAACCTAGGAGGCAGGTATAAATTCATTTAATTTCAGGTGAGGAAACTGAGGCTCAGAGAGGGGAGTTAATCTGCTCAAGATGACATGGCACAGAGCTGAGTTTGAGTTCTGGCTTGCCAGTCTCACACTTGCCTACCACTCCTTCAGTATGCCTCCGGAGAACATATTATTTCTTGGGTTGAAAATTATCATCCTTTCATAATATTTGTCCTGGGTCTCAGGTACCATGTGAGTGCAGAACACAAATAAACCCTGCCCTGCCCTTTCTTTTTTTTTTTTTAAAGCAGGCTTTATTGAGAGGACAGAAAATCTCCCACAGTGGGAGGGGACCCGAAGGGGTTGCCCTGCCCTGCACTTTCAAAATGGGCGATGATTACACCACTGGTGACATTTTTGAGTGACACAAACAAATATAAATGTTGCTGTACACTCAGAAGTCACAACCCTATTTGTCCAGTAACCCCAAACCAGGAAGTTGCTATCAGAATAAAAACATACTCTGAGTGAGGATCTTCACAGGGTCAGGCAGGGTTGATTGTAACAGAAAAAAACCCTACAGATTCTCCGGGTGCATGATCTGGAGAGGTCCTGCTCCTTTTGGACCATCCCCATGGGAGGTGGTTGTACTGGTCAGGTTAGGATCCAGCAGCAAGAGAGAGAACAGGAAGGCAGGGGGACACCCGTGACTGAGACGATGCAGAAAACACCTGCAGGGACAACGAAAACCACAGTGGTCTGCATGGCTCAGCTGGAAGAGCAAGGGCTTCGATTCTGCAAAAGGATACAGGGGCAGGAAACAGGGACAGGGCGTGTGAATGTACATGGGGGTGCCAGGCAGGTGTGAGTAGGTATGTGAAAGGAGAAAGACCAGAAGGAAGCAGAGGACGCTGAGGACTTCGTCTGAGGGACAAGGGCTGCCCATCGTGTGTCATGGATGAAGGGACAGAAGGGAAGGGAGCTGTGCAGACTTCCATTCTAGCATGATGTGTAAGATCAGAAAGTTGGGAAGAAGCTAACTAAACAGCCACCAGTAGGGGAGTGGTCACACAGCTGTGACTCGTCCCTCTGGATGCTCTGCCCTGCAGAGATGAGATGCCCTGCAGAAAGATGAGGGTATAGTGATGTGTGCCCAGAAAAAGGCTGAGGAGAAATGCATCAGCATGCTCCCAGTGGTTATCACTGGGTGACAGGCTTTTGTCTTCCCTATTCTTTTCTGTATTTTCTGAATTTGCCCCAATGAGCAAAGCATTACTTCTATTTATTTTAACATATGTTAAATCATATTATTAATATATAAATACAATCTCAAAAATTAGTCATTTGAAGATAGAAACAAAATTGGAAACGTTTAGCTAGAATGGCCAAGAATAGAAAAGAAAACTTTGCTGTAGAAACTATAGATGAGCCGGGTTCGGTGGCTCAGCCTGTAATTCCAGCACTTTGGGAGGCTGAGGTGAGTGGATTGCATGAGCCCACGGGTTCGAGACCCGCCTGGGCAACTTGGCGAGACCTCATCTCTACAATAAATCAAAAAATTAGCCAGGCGTGGTAGCGTGCGCCTGCAGTTCCGGCTACTCTGAAGGCTGAGGCGGAAGGATCGCCAGATCCCAGCAGGTCGAGGCTGCGGTGGCTGGGAGCGGCCACTGCACTCCAGTCTGGGCGACAGAGTGAGACCCCAACTCAAAAAAAAAAGAAACTACAGATGTTCAAAGGATAAGAAGGAAATATTTTTAACAATTTTGTGCTTGAAATTTGACAATCTAGATGAAATGGACAAATTCTGTGAAAGACACAAATTACTAAGACATCTCATGAAGGAATATGACACTTAAATAACTTATATCAATTAAAGAAACAGAACTTATAAGTTAAATCCACACAGAAAACACTAGGACTGGATGACTTCACTGGTGAAGTCTATCAAACATTTATAGAGGAGGATAGAACATTTCCCAATTCATTTTATGAAGCCAGCATGAATCTGATATCAAAACCAGAGGAAGACATTACAAGAAAACTACAGAATACATTATTCATGAATGTAAACCAAAAAAAATCCTTACAAAAAGACTAGCAAATTGAATCCAGCAATACATACAAAACATACTAGACCATAACCAAATGAGGCTGGTCCCAGGAATCCAAGGTTAGCTTTTCTTTCTTTCTTTTTTTTTTGTTGAGTTGGAGTCTCACTGTCACCCAGTCTCACTGTCGCCCCTCCCGGCCACCGCAGCCTCGACCTGCTGGGCACTGGCGATCCTTCCGCCTCAGCCTTCCAAGTAGCTGGAATTACAGGCGTGCGCTACCACGCCCGGCTAATTTTTTGATTTGTAGAGATGAGGTCTCGCCTGTCCAGGCGGGTCTCAGACCTGCAGGCTCAGGCAATCCACTCACTTCAGCCTCCCAAAGGTGTGGGATTACAGGCTGAGCCACCAAACCCAGCTCAAGGTTTGCTTTTCACTTGAAAATTAATTGATGCAATTTATGACATTAATGGAATAAATAAGAAAACCATATGATTATATCAATGTGGAAGAAGCAATAGACAAAATTATTCAACAGCTACTTGTAATAAAGATTCTCAGCAAGCAGAGAGGGAAACTTAATCTGATAAAGGACATCTACAAAAAACCCGCGGTTAATATCACACTTAATAGTGAAAGACTGGATGCCTTTCTCCTGAGATAGGGATGCCTAGTCCCACCGCTTCTGTTCAATACTGACCCAGAGATCTTAGCCAGTGCAACAAGGCAAGAAAAAGAAAAAAAATTGGAAAGAAGAAACAAAACTGCTTTCATTTGTAGAAACATGCTCATGTATGTAGAAAATCCTAGGAATTTCAGAAAAGAGCAGCTGCAAGTACTAAATGAGTTTGGCATGGTTGGAGAATACAATGTCACTGCAAAAATCAATCATCAGTTTGGCACAGTGGCTCAGCACTTGGGAGGCAGAAACAAGAGAATTGCCTGAGTCCAGGGGTTCGAGACCAGCCCGGGCAACTTGGAAAGAACTCGTCTCTACAATAAATCAAAAAATTAGCCAGGCATGGTGTCGCATACCTGTAGTCCCAGCTACTTGGCAGGCTGAGGTGGAAGGATCGCCTGAGCCCAGCAGGTCAAGGCTGCAGTGGCCCTGAGCATGCCACTGCACTCTAGCCTGGGCAACAGAGTGAGACTCCTACTAAAAAAAAAAAAAAAGATCAATTGTTCAGCCTAGGCAACATAGTGAGACCTCATCTGCACAAAAAATCAAGAAAATCAGCTAGAAGCTTTCCCAAATTGATATGTAAATCGCCTGAGCCCAGGGGATCAGGGCTAGGTGAGCTGTGATCATGCCATTGCACTCCAGCCTGGGTGACAGGGTGAAACCTGTCTCAAAAAATCAAATCAAATCAACTATATTATATGCCAGCAGTGATCAATTTAAAATTAAATTAAGAAAACAAGCCGGGCTCTGTGGCTCAGCCTGTAATCCCAGTGCTTTAGGAGGCTGAGGTGAGTGGATTGCCTGAGCCCGCGGGTTCGAGACCCGCCTGGGCAACTTGGCGAGACTTCATCTCTATAATAAGTCAAAAATTAGCTGGGAGTGGTAGCACATGCCTGTAGTTCCAGCTGCTTGGAAGGCTGAGGTGGAAGGATTGCTGGAGCCCAGAAGGCCGAGGCTACAGTGGCTGGGAGTGGCCACTGCACTCCAGTCTGGGTGAGAGTGAGACTCCAACTCAAAAAAAAAGAAAAGAAAAAGAAAACAATACCACTTACAATAACATCCCAAACTATGGACTTCTTAGGAATATATTTAGCAAAATAGCTTCAAGACCTGTCTTCAGTGTCTTCAAGATACTAAAACTATATATCACTGAGAAAAAAAATGCTTTAAACTAAATAAATGGAGGGCTATACCTTGATAATGAATAGACTCATTGTTAAGATGCTAGTTCTCCCAATTTAATATATAAATTCAATGCAATACCAATTAAAATCTCAGTAAGTTTTCTACAGACATTGACAAGTGAATTCTAAAATGTATACGGAAATGCATAGAATAGGATAGCCAAGTAGTTTTGAAAAAGAACAAAGCTGGAGGAATATACTACCTGATTTCAAAGTGTGCTATATAGATGCATTAATCAGGACAGTATGGGGTTAGCATAGCGACAGACACATAGATCACTAGAACAGAACAGAGAACCCAGAAACAGAGCTATACATATCTACACAGGTATGGACAATCAATTTGCAACAAAGATGACAAGATAATTCAATGGGGAGAAAGAATAATCTTTTCAACAAGTAGTGTTGGAACTAGTTGTCTCTATGGAAAAAAATGAACTTCAACTTTAACCTTATGTAGTACACAGAAATTAATTTGAAATAAATCATAGACCTAAATGTAAAAGCTAACAAGGATCAACTTCTTTGAGAGTATTTGTGACTTTGGTAGGAATTGGCAAAGCTTTCTTAGATAGGATACAAAAAGCGTGAACCATGCAAGGAAAAAATTGAGAAATTGGACTTTATCACAATTAAAAACTTTTCTTCCAAAGACACTGTTAATAAAATAAAAAGCAAGTTAGGCATGGTGGTGCCTGGCTGTAGTCCCAGCTACTTGGGAGGCTAAGGCAGGAGGATCACTTGAGCCCAGGAGTTCAAGGCTGCGGTGTGTTATGATTGCACCTGTGTATAGTTACTGCATTCCAGCCTGAGCAATACAGTGAGACCCCATTTAAAAAAAAAAAAGAAAGAGAAAAGAAAAAGCAAGCCACAGACTAGAAGATATAATTCACAAAACATGTCTGACAAAGGACTTGTATCCAAAATAAAAAAGAATTCTTACAACTTAATAATAAAATAATTTTTTTAAAAATTGGAAAAGATTTAAAGATACCTTTAACAAAGGAAAATGTATGAATGCTTAATAAATGTATTAAAAGATGCTCAAAATCATGGGTTTTCAAGGAATTGCAGATTAAAACCACAAGCTATCAAAACATAGCCATTCTAATAAATGACTTTATATTTATTTATTTACTTATTTATTTAGAGTCAAGGTCTCACTGTGTCGCCCAGGCTAGAGTGCAGTGGCATGATCATGCTGATTATAGCTCACGGCAGCCTTGATCTCCTGGGCTCAGGTGATTCTTCCACCTCAGCACCCTAAGTAGCTGGGACTATAGGTGTGCACCACCATGCCCAGCTCACTTTTAAATTTTCTGTAGAGACAAGGTTTTGCTATATTGCTCAGTCTGGTCTTGAACTGCTGGACTCAAGTAATCCTCCCACCTTGGCCACCCAAAGTGCTGGGATTACAGGCATGAGCCACCATGCCCAGCTGAATGACTTTAAAAAGACTTGACAAGGATGTTGACAGAAATGTGGAATAGCTGGCAATCTAGAATACAGTGGATGGGACTATAAAATGGTACAACCGCTTTGGAAAACAGTTTGGTAGTCTCTTAGGAAGTCAGAATACACGTATCACACAACCCAGCAAATCTACTTTCAATAATCTATCTCATAGGGATAGACCATCCATTCACAAAAAGACTCATATATGAGTGTTCATAGCAGACTGATTTATAAATAGTCCCAGCAGGAAACAACTCAAATCTCTATCAATAGGCAAATGAACAAACACATCATGGTATGTCCATGTGATGGAAGATTACTCAGCAGTAAAAAGGAATGGACTACTGAAACATATAACACGGGTGATTCTCAGACACCACCTGAGCAAAAGCCAGACTTCAACACCTACTGTAGAATTCCATTATCTAGGAAACCCTAGGAAAGACAGGCATAATCTATAGTTACAGAAAGCAGATCAGTGATTTCCTGGGGCAGCAGTGCAGAAGACTGGGAAGGTAGGAATGTTCTAGATCTTGATCAGAGCAGTGGTATGTAGGTACGTACACTGGCCAAAACTTGTCAAATTAAAATGGATGCACTGAGGCCATTGCCTTACTAGACTCTGGTGTGGCCATATGCTCTTTGAGGTATGGCTGTTTCCTGTCTTTGGCCCCCTTCCCTACCTTGGGACTACAGACATGCACCACCACACCCGGCTAATTTTATTTTTATTTTTTTTGTAGAGACAAGTTCTTGCTATGTTGCTCAGGCTGGTCTCGAATTGCTGGACTCAAGGAATCCTCCCATCTTGACCTTCCAAAGTGCCGGGATTATAGGCGTGAGCCACCATACTTGGCTGATCTTTTAAAAGTTGTGGGAGACCAGACCCAGTGGCTCATACCTGTAATTCTAGCACTTTGGGAGGCAGAGGTGAGAGGATTGCCTGAGCCCAAGGGTTTGAGACCAGCCTGGGCAACTTGACGAGACCTTGTGTCTACAATAAATCAAAAAATTAGGCCAGGCACAGTGGCTCAAGCCTATAATCCCAGCACTTTGTGGGAGGCTGAGGTGAGAGGGTTGTCTGAGTCCAGGGAGTTGAGACCAGCCTGGGCAACTTGGTGAGACCTCGTATCTACAAAAAAAAAAAAAAAAAAAAAAATTAGCCAGGCATAGTGGAGCGCACCTGTAGTTCCAGCTACTTGGAAGGTGGAAGGATTGCCTGAGCCCAGCAGGTTGAGGCTGCAGTGGCCATGAGCATACCATTGCACTCCAGCCTGGGCAACAGAGTGAGACTCTGACTCAAAAAAAAAAAGTTGTGGGAGGATATACAAAAGACTGATAAACTGGGGGAAGTGGGGAGGAATGTCCCAGATTAATGGTTGTAAGCAAAGGAGACTTTAGCTTTCTCTGAAACATTCTAATGTTTCAACAGTGAGACGGAATTTGTGTATTACATATGAAATGAAATTTAACAACATGTCGTAGAGATCCTTCCATGCCAGGTTTTAGAGAATCCTTCACTCTTCATACAACTTTCACTGTAGCTGTCCCTTGACATCCACTGGGGATTGGGGCCAGCATCCCCACAGAGATTAGACCTTGGTTGTCCAATGAACAAATATTGGGGCATGGGGGGAACTGAGCCAGAAGTGTACCAGGGTGGCTGTTTCCCTGAAGTACCACCTAGTACCTGGGCCTGGTGCTGCAGATGAAAGGTTACGGCTGTGCTGACTTCCCTGGTGATGTCACACACCTCAGAGGAGATGATGGCTGACCCCACTTGGGTGCTCAGGAACCTGAAGGGGAATAGGAGCTTTCACGGGTGGCTGTGAGGGAGAAGTCACGCCTAGCTGGGCATCTCATCCAGGCCCTGCAGTGGAAAGGGCAGCCTCGGTGTCCAAAGAGATAGTGGGGCAAGTGGTATGCTGGGAACGAGGCTCCTGGTTCCAGTCTTGTCTTGGGAATTGCTGGCAACTTGGGTAAGCCCTGTTCCCTCCCTGAGCCCCAGCATTGAGGCCAGGACCCCGAGAGGAACGGAGTCACTTCCTCAGTCACACTTTTGGCAGGTGCAGAAGTGTGTAGGGAGTGGGTGGGCCTGAGCTGGTAAGGACACATTTGCCCACCAGAAGGGGTTCTGACCTTCCCTGGGGATAGGACATAGGTCCTCAGCAGCCCATTGGGTGGGGCCCACTCACCTCTGCACCCTGCTTGCCTCCTCCGAGTTGCCAGGGGCCAGGGGCTCTAGGCCGGGCCCCCTGAGGGTGTGCTGGAAGACTCTGGAGGTGAACCAGTTGTGGATCACAGTGACTCTGGAGAGGCCTGGCTGAGCAGGAGGGGACCCAAGATGTCACCCGGTGATTGAGCAAGCACCACCGGTTGGCCACAAGGGTCATACTCTCCCCATCCTAGAGTGGGAAACTGAGGTATGGAGAGGTTAAATGACTTCCCTAAGATCACACAGCTAAGTGGCAGAGCCAGAATTCCAACCAGCTGTGGTTCAGCCATGCACTGAACCTCATAACTCCGAATCCCTTTGCCCCTTGTCCTAATCCTTCACCCCTGCATGGCATCCCAGGAAAATGTGTGTGGATCAGTGAAGGGACTAAGTGAACACTACTATCTAGTGGGTGCTTTTAACCTCATTACTTGAGGCAAGTAGTCATATGCCCATCTTACAGACATGAAAACTGAGGCTCTGAAAGACAAAGTGACCCAGTCAGTGTAGAACAGCTACAGTCAGAGCTGAGGTTTGACCCAGAACTCAACAGGGTTCCAGCCATCCCCTCATCCTCACCCACCTTTCCCAAGGAGCCGCCTCACTTCATGCGCCGGGATGTGGATGTGGCCGGGTCCCTCTGGATGCCCGCTGGGCATGGTAAACACGTAGCCCCCGGTGCTGGCCTCCCTCAAGTGCAGGTTGCGTATCTCCAGGCCTGAGAGCAAACAGCGTGGGGTAGCTGGACCTCAGGAGTGAGGTCTCCCTGCTGAGCTGGCCCAGCCAGCAGGGTCTGTCCCCTTCTCCTTGTCACAGGCCTAGGAGGCCACCATTCCTGCTCAGAGAAGTTCAGCAACTTGCCCAGGGCACACCTGACTTCCCCAGGAGGGGGTCACTGAGAAGGAGGTTCATTGGGAGGCAGGGCCTGAATGTCAGTGAGCCACCAGAAGCCAGTGGGCACTTGCAGGACACAAGTCTGTGCCTGAAGTTCCACCATAGGTGGCCCCCCATTCAATCCAGAAACATTTGCTGGGTGTGTACTGGGGCCTGGCCCTGAGATGCAGAGATGGCTCAGAAACAGACCTGGTTCTCAGGGGCCCTCCGGTGGAGGATTAGACAATCCCATTATGCCATTGCCACCAATGCAATGAAAGATCCGTTCAAGACACTGGGGTGACAGAGAGGGAGGCACTGTCAGGAGAGAGCTAGAACTGGAGAAGGCTTCCTAAAGGAAGTGATGCTCAGGCAGGACTCCAAAGGACGTATAGGAGTTTGTTAGGAGATTAAGGGAGAAAGGGCATTCTGGAGGACACAGATGGGCAAAGGCAGGAAACAGAATGGCGTGTCTGTGGAAGTGCCGAGAGTTCCCAGTGACCAGGCCTGAGGAGAGGCATCTGAGCCCAGATGCCTGGGCAGTAGTGGCAGGCTCACCAGCATGGCGATACTGGACGTGCATTCGGGGCTGCTCCGAGGTCAGCAGGGTGCTCAGCAGGGGTGCTAGGCGCTGCACACTAGCCACCAGAGCCATAGGGCCACCCACCACCTGGGAGGACACTGCATCTCAGTTTTCACTGCCCACTGCTGATGCCCTGACTGCTGTGGTTAACACACTCTCAACGATCTGAGAGGTGGCCCTGCCCTCTCCAGACCCTTGGATGCTCCAGCATAGAGTCCGAGGGCCTCAGGCTGATATTTGAAGGCCTGCTGGCCCCGGTCTCCTTTGATCTCTCCAACTCTGTATCCCAAGTCACCCCATCGTCAGGCCAAAACAGAGCCTTCCGGTGCTTCGTGCCTGCTGGCCTATTGCTGCCAAGCAGGGTGTGCTCCAAAGGCTGCCACACCTCCCCCACTCTGACTCAGCACTAGACCTATACTAGGTGCTCAACGATGAGATTCCAGAAGGAAAGATGCATGCATGTGGGGTGGGTATAAGAGCAGGGGCACACATGCATCCATGGGACACCCACTCCGTGCTGGGCAAATCTTCTAATTCATCCATTAACTCCTCTCCACTACCTTGGCAAGGCAGCTGTGATAATCCTCATTCCCCAGGGAAAAAAACTGAAGTTCAAAATCTAGCTTTTCCCAGTCTACCACAGTGCCTCAGATCCCTAATCAACTGTGGGCTTGTCCCAGTATAGGGAGCTCACTCTCTGTTCACATGAACCATTTCATAGAGTCGGTCTGCTGTGTTGTGCCATCTTCACCCTATCTCCATGCCCTGGTCCCAGTTCTGTCCTCTGGGGCCACAGGGGGACCATGTTTGCTGCTTCAGCCCCAGAGATTTGCAGGCAGGGTCCATGACCTCTCATTCCCTCCCTTCTCTGGGCTGATCACTCACTCCCAGGCCTACAGTTACTTTGCCAGGGCAGGGTTTCCCACAGCCTCTCCACCTGGAGAGTACCTCTCGTGTTTCCCAGTATGTCTGGGCTGTTCAGGCAGACGAGCTGGACTGACCACTCAGCACAGATCTCCCACCCTAAGGTGGTCTGCAGATTCTTGGAGATGGGGGGAGGTCCTTATTGACTGGTGACTCTCAATTATTTTTAACTGCAGAGGCTGTTGTTCCAGGGCAATTGTTTGTGGAAAGTCAACTTCCTAAACAGACAAAAGAGGAGCTTCTCCTGCTGGATGGAGAGAAAGAGAGACCAGAGCTGGGTGCTGACTGGCCCCAGCTATACAACCACCCTGGGGGCAAGGTCTGAACCAGAGCCCAGACAACCCCCACCCCCAGTCCTGCCAACCTCACCTCACTGATGCACAGCCATGCATCAGTCACTGGCTCCTCCAGGACCAGGCTTGCCACAGACATGACGCCCTGGCCCAGCGGTTTCCAAGGCCCAGTCAAGGGCTCTGACTCCCCGAGGGCTATCACCCTCTTCAGGAAGTGCACAACTGCCAGCAGCGCAGCTGGCCCCAGGGAAGCTGTCCTCTTGGCCAGGACTCTCTCCAAGGTGCTCAGGAAGCTGGAGGCCTCAGCCAGGGACAGGGCGCTGTGGGCTTCAGAGAGCGGGTCTGGGAGGAGCTGTGGGCAGAAGAACCACTAACTGCTGGTCTGGCTGTCGTGAAGGGATCCCCCCAGGGGCCACACTTGGACTCTGACAGGGCCTTCTTGGTGAGTCCAGTCAAACTTGTCACAAGCCCCCAGCTCTCAGGGGCTCCAAAACAGAAGCCCAAACAACCTTAATTCCAGCAGACTTAATTTCTTCAGGTGAGGAAACTGAGGTGCAGCAAGGTGGCCCATAGTGACCCCAGAATCTTTAGCCCCCTGGGAGGGAGCTCACCACGGTGTCGTTGGCCAAGGCATTGACTTGGCTGATAATATCCTGGTGGGGCCACGACTGGGCATCCTGCAGCCGCTGGTAGGTCTCTGCAAAAGACTGGATGCAAGGCTGGGCTCTAGGCAACACTGCTGCCCAGAGATGCCAGCCTGCTCAGTGACCCCCACCCACCATATGCTGCCCAGGAAGAAAGATCACCTTGACGGCTGTGTGTCTGGAGCCTTATGCATTGTGTTCCAGATGGGGAGACTGAGGCACAGAATGGCAAAATCACTTGCCCAAGGTCACAAAGTTGGGATTCACCCCCAAGTCTATCCTAGATTCACGGCCCCCTAGTCTTAACCCTGTGGAGGACCTGACGCTCCAAGAGGATTCTGAATTTTCAGACTATGTCAACCATTAAAGCCCTCTCAGTCTACACCAATCCACGCCTGCCTCCCCTTCAGCCGGGCCAGGCGCACCTGTCCGGTAGCAGCAAAGGAAGGGCCGCGGCTGCAGGCAGAGCGCGGAGCCCTCAGTGTGAGGTCCTGGGTCCCACGTGGGGCACTCCTCTGAGGGCACTGGCCGGGAGAGGGGAGGTGTCAGGGCCACATACTGCCTTTCTAGTCGTCCTGTGACCCACCGTGCATACCCGATTCGGAGCCAGGACGCACCGCCCGCCGTTGGGGTCAGCTGGAGAGGTGCGCTGCAGCCAGCACAGGGCGGGGCAAGGCGGCCAGGGGGCGGGCCCAGGCACTCGGGCTACTAGGACGGAGCGGATGCCTGAGCGCAAGGCGCGGCGGCCAGTGGGCGGGCGTGGCCAGAGTTGGGCGGGGCCGGGCTGGCAAAGGGAGGGCTGGGCAGGGTACCGCAGTCCGAAGGAAGCGTGGCGAGCCCAGGGGGCAGGACCTGGAACGCCGCGGGTGTGGGGCGGGCCGTACCGGGACGGAGAAGGCGCACCCACACCGTTGGCAGCAAGGAGGGCGTGATGTCCAGGGCGTCCGGGTCCCAGCGGAAGAGCAGACCGCCGGGGGGCGGCGCGCAGGCCCGTGCCCGGGGCAGCTGCGCGGGG